AACAAAAAAAAAAGTTTTTTTTCCAAAAAAAAAAAAAAAATTTTATGTTTCTGTAAAAAAAAAAAAATTATTGAAAAAAAAAAAGCGGGCAATACTTTTGCCCCCCCCCCCCCCCCCCGGTAGATCGCCGACATTGAGGAAACACTTGATTAATTGATTTTATTAAATAAATTTTACATCATACTACTATCATGCTTGCAACTACAGGTTAATTCAGAAAATAAATATCCTGTGTAATTTAGAATGACAAGTGATGATCAATATGAATACATTGTAGTTAAAGATTTTCAGATCGTACATATTTAAATGAAGACTTGCATCATAAACTCGCTCCATTAAATTTTAATTATTTAATTGAATTATTAGCCAAAGCTTGGACTTTCACTGACTAAATTTCTTAAATTCCTTACTAATAAAAATCAATCATGAAGCTCTTCAATAATTATATGATATCTCTTTTAATAATTGTCTTCCTCACGGCAGTTTCCTATAGCAAAAGGTTTTCGAGTGAAAAATCCAATATGAAACCATTTACTCAAAAGCTCTCAAGCAAAGCAGTGGTATGATTATACTTCTTTTTAATAACATAAACACAAATTCGATATATATGCTTTTACCTCATAATTAATTGCTGTCTTTGAATTCATCTTTATATGTTATAATTTCATCACTAATTAAGCATCTCATTTATAGCCCAATGTATTAGGAAGTAAAAATGTAATGGTTAATCTATTTCTCACTTTACAATATGTTTTTATCTGGAATAATCCTTTACTAATAATAATAATTTTATAATTTGCTGAAATTCAAGACGGTAATGTTTTTAAATTTCCACTTCTTATTGATAATATGAATTTAAACTAAAATTTATTCCATTTATTGCGCATTCAAGGCTGCAAACGACTGTGGAGATGGAACGTTCTGCGAAGCGGTAATTTTTTTATTTTCCCACTTTTTTTTGATTATTATTACTAACAAGTTGATTATAATCAGGGCAAACAATGTGCCTCTAACAATACTTGCATACCATTGGTAATTAACTTATATTCCCACGTTCCATGAGAATTTAAATATTACAGTAACAGTATTTTTACTAAAATTTATTCCATTTACTACGCATTCAAGGGTGCAATTGACTGTGGAAATGATGCATCCTGCGATGCGGTAATATATTTTTTATTTTCCCACTTTTTTTTGATTATTATTACTAACAATTTGATTATAATCAGGGCAAAAAATGTGCCTCTAACAATACTTGCATACCATGGGTAATTAACTTATATTCCCAACTTCAATGTGAATTAAAATATTACAGTATTTTTCTTAAAATTATTCAATTTTTACGCATTCAAGGTTGCAAACGACTGTGGAAACGGATACAACTGCGATGCGGTAATGTTTTAATTTTCCACTTCTTATTGATCATGATCATTATTACTAACAACTTGCTTAAAATCAGGGCACACAATGTTCTACTAGTAACCTTTGCCTACCATTGGTAATTAACTCAAATTTCCACCTTCAAACATTACAGTAACTATATCTTTACTAAAATTTGTTCAATTTTTATTGCGCATGTAAGGGTGCGACCGACTGTGGAAATAGATGGTACTGCGAAGCGGTAACGTATTTTACTTTTTCACTTCTTATTGATTATTATTACTAACAACTTGCTTGAAATTAGGGAAAACAATGTGGTACTAATAATACTTGCATACCTTTGGTAATTAACTTATATTCCTACCTTTTATGTGAATTAATTATTGTTTCTTTACTAAGATTTTTCCATTCAAGGGTGCAACCGACTGTGGTGGTGGATCCTACTGTGTTGCGGTAATAAAATGCTTTTCAAGCTTTCTCATTTTATTAAATGTAACTAACAGCTTCGTTATAATTGCTAATAATGTATTTTATTTCATTTATTTTATTTTTACTCGCATAGGGCCAACACTGTTGTATGAAGAATCAATGCTGTGACAATTATTAAGTCATTTTTATTTATAAATATCTACAGACAATACAATTACTACATTCAAGCATTTTCTTTATTAATATTAAATTTCGATTGTTTAGCGAAAAATTATGTAGAGTGTATTTTTATTAGTAATCCTGGATCTAGTTGTCAAATGAAACACAATTATCCGCCCGCGAATTACAGTACCTACACATTATCGGACATTCCTTTTAAATACATGATCAAAGTAACGTTTATGAATTTCAGTTTTCAACAAAATCTTTTAAATTACATTATAATGCTCTATCAATATGACAATAAAAGAATCTTTAATTTTTAACAATATGGGCAGACATCACGTTTCGTAATAATGTTTTTACAACTTCGTAACTTGATTCGTAATGATAAGTGGTTAGATCATATAAAATCAATATAAATAATCATAACATCTTAACAAATTTGTAATTAACAAAACGAAACGTGAAATTGAACTTATTTATTTTTTATATTCATTTCCGCTACTAGGTTTATTAACCATTTCCCTCAATTTAGATTTAAGACATTATGTTTCCTTTCGGTAAATACAAGTTTTAGATCAACAGGCTTTAATAAAAATTGAGTTTCAAACAGCAACTTGTTCTCATTAATGCTGTTTTCAGGAAGAATCCAATTATACTTGAGCACTTTTAAAATCAAAATTACGTAAATTAATTTTTTATAAAAATATTCTTTTTTTACCAATAATTATAAATGTCAAGAATACTTACAAAACATCGAAATAATTACTCTTTGCTCCATCAAAGAAAAGTTTTGACCAAGACTTTGAAATTATAAAACGAAGTAATTAATGGATAGTAGATTTATAAACGATTCATTAAAAAAAAAAAAATACATACCAATTTCTTACACCAGAAGAAAATGGAATCCAAGAAAATGCGTGAATTTTTTCATTGTTTAAAAATCTTTCAGGATTGAATTGTTCAGGATTTTCCCAATATTTTGGATGATGATTAATTTGCCAAATATTTGTCGTACATATTATGTTTGCTGGTATAAGATAAGGACCAATTTTCATTGGCTTTGTTAGTTTTCGAGGGACTATTCCTGTAGATGGCGGATAAATTCTTAAGGATTCTTTAATAACTGCGTTGATATATTTCATTTCCTTAAAAACAAAATGTTGTTTTAGTTAAGTTTATTTAGTTTATTTGCAGAATGTGAAAATGACTGAAATCGTTACTTTTAATTGTTCCGATGTAGGTATGATTGGTTCATTTCCAAGTACACTAATTACTTCTTTTCGCGCTCTTTCTTGCATCTCCTACGTATTTTAATTCTTTTAAAAAAATATTGATTATTAAAATAAAAGCGATTTGAAAATTTATTTATCAAAGCTTACCGGATACTTTGCAAGAAAATAAAACGAGGTGCTTAACGCCAATGAAGTTGCTGTTGTCATAATCATTATCATTATTAAATATAATTAACTATTAAGAATTGATAAAATAAAGGAAAATATATTTACTGTCATGGCCAGCAACGAAAAAGCCCACCATTTCATCTCTTAATTGCTTAGAATCAGTACTAATTCCCTCCTGGTTGGCATGCTGTATCATACCTGTTAGCAGGTCAATCCGGCCATTATCAGAATTAACATTATTAGAAACCTTCTTATTTTCAACTTCATTTCTCTTTTCCTTAATCATGTCAGAAATGAACTCATTAAATTCTTCATTAGCCTTGAAGAATTTTCTATTATGAGCTGTCGGTAATTTAATTAACCATGGAAAAAGAATATGATAAATGGATTCTGCGGTTTCAATTACAGCCTTATAAACATTTATAATATGAGGAACCTCGACGGATTTCAAGCACTAAAAAATAATAAAAAAAATTTCATGATTAATATAATAGATTTGGTTGGTCGCACTTATTTCTCGTGATTTAAATACTTGCACCAAACTGATATCCAAAAGCTAATTTTCCCAGCACTTCGATCGTGGTACGTTGCATAATTTCGAATATATCAATCGGCTTATTTAAATTTTGTTGCATGAAATTGAAAAGTTCAAATGTAATTTCCCCAACAATGTCTGGGGACAATGCGTTATTGAAAGCAGGATTTGCTAATTTTCTAGAAGTTCGCCATTTCTATGAAATGATTAATTCCTTTAGAAAATTTAAATCACTTTAGGCATAGAATATTTCATGTTAACTTTATACATACATCTCCATTCGAAAATACTAAGCCATCACCGAAAAATTCTCTCATAGTTCCAGAAGGCAAACTAATTTTTGGAGGATCATCTTCCTCTATAAAAATCAAAATCATTAATGGTAGAAATCTCAAGCATTAATTTTGCAATTTTTTTTTTTTTTTTACATTATATCTCACCTATTTTTGTTAAGAAATCCTTAAGATACGCAGGATCATTGATATTTATGGCATTTTGACCAACAATGCGATCCTAAGGAAAAAAATTATATTTCAAAGTAAAATAATTAATTATTCAAAAATAACAAATTAAAATTTATGTAATTTGTACAAACCAAATAAATATCATAGTCTCCTGAAGATTTTGCAATCGTCTCTTGAACTTCGTCTTGATGTTTTTGTTGTAATAACGCCCAAAATATAGGCCAAATAGAAATGGATGGAATACCTTCAAGTTCTTTTGGTAGCTTATTTATATGATTGAAATAAGCGAAAATAAAGAAAATAACGATAATGAATATAATTGCGAACATTTTTATAGTTAAACCATTGAAAATTCTATCCTTTTATATAGTGCTGATATTCTTATTTGATTGTTCGGAGGTAAGTTCCTGTTATAGTAATAAATACCGATACCGATCGACATCGTAATTTACTCAAAGGCCTTTCCTAAGAGGAAATTACGATAAACAAACGATTTATTACGATTCGAAGTGTAGTAGATCAAAGCCAAAAAAAAAAAAAAGAATTCATACCTTTAATAAAGGAAGTTATTAAAAGTAAGTTTATGAATATTGAATAAAAAAAAAAAAAAATCCAAAAATTAGAATCGGATACGGGGGGGGGGGGGGGGGGGGGGGGGCAAAAAAAAAAAAAAAAACCTGATGTCACCCCCAAAGCCAATGTCATTTTTTTTTTTTATTATCTAAATCAATTTTTTTTTTTTTT